TGGGAGTACTCACAGCGCACCATGGGAGTACTCGCAACGTACCATGGGAGTACTCGCAACGTACCATGGGAGTACTCGCAACGTACCATGGGAGTACTCGCAACGTACCATGGGAGTACTCTCAACGCACCATGGGAGTACTCTCAACGCACCATGGGAATATTATTATATTAGATGTGCATCTCCAATAGAAGCACTTACGAACCAAAAATCGCATTTAGTGTATAATGAATTATTAAAACATTAATTATTTTGACAATAGACACATAACTGTAATTTATGTAAGTGCTATTAAATAAAGCAAATATTGTACTATGTTTAGCAGCACCATGGAGGTCCATGGCAGCACAGATTAAAGGGAATATGAAGGTTAACCTAGTATGTTTTAGAAAAAAAAACATTGGATATAGGGAGAACACAAATAGACTTCATAAGTGGCTTGTTGTAAAAACACATTATTAAAACACAAAACACAGACAGACTTGTACATCATACAAACACAAGAAAACCAAGACTCACCTCGCTAAACAGTTTTCCCCCAAATGAACACCTCTCAATAAATGATGTTAACAAAATCAACAAACAACTCTTGAATGAGAATCACCATCTCACCTTGGATCATCCAACAATCAATTAACCTATTGAGTACATGAAGTCAAGCATAGCCCCATTAGTTCCTGTTATTGCCGGGTTCATGTTCACTCAAGTATTTAATTGGGACAATAGTGTCTGATTTCTCAATACACATTTATACAGTAGTGAGCAGTGCACCAACACAAGATTTCAAGTTCTGCGGATACTCCGATGTGTGCCTTTTGAGTAAAATGAAATTCACATTCTCTAAACAAAATAAATGTACCATTAAATACGAAGGAAATCAGAGGCAACAACATTTTTTGTTGTCCCTCTGGTCACCTATACAGTCAAATACAACGTAATTTTTTCTTGGAGGCTGACCTCCCCAGCAGTAAACATGTTGATTTATCTTTAGGGCATTATAGATTAACGTTTTAATTTTAAATAAACAATAGAGCCAATTTAGCATAACATTGAATATAATTCTGATGATTAACATATCCTATTGTTAGACAAATTAGTAGACACTCCATACTATGTTTCTGGGAAGAACACTAAACTTGATTTGGGGGGAATTAAATTTTCACTCTGGATTCATACAAGGTCCACATTGTGTGCCTTGTATACTGGAGTATAGGCCAGGCAGATGAATTTTTGTATAAGATTCATCAGGATTCATGGCGCTATATCGGGATTCATGGCACTATATCGGGATTCATAGCACTGTTTAATTATTACTCAAACTAACAAGTCAGAGCTATGAAATGTGAGAAATCAGTTGCATGTACTCTTCACGAGAATGTCTAGATGCTTTGTCTGACTTTTAACCTCAAACCCCTAAAATAAACCACAATTTTGTTCATATTTTTTTAGAAATTTTGATGAAGATTTATAGTGATAGAAAATTTAGTCCAAAAATAACACTTTTCAGAAAATACACAAATAAGTGCAAAATTGACAAAATAAGATGATGGAATGTTCAATTTATGTGCAATTTTTTTTCAAATGCACTTCTAATACAGCAAATATACAATAACTATCTGAGAGAGAGCCACCCAAGGTACATTTGTAGTGAGTTAGAAATCAAAGAAATCGATAATCTGATCTTGACACCAACAGGCGACTCAGTCGACAGTGGAGCTAATATTGTTTACCTTACAACTACTCAAAGTCCTTCAAATACACATGCAGCCATAGGGGATAGGTATATGAAAAGAGAAATACTATTGAATAATATATCAAATACAAAGATGACATGAATATCCTTCAAGTTCTCAGTATCAATCAATAGCTCAATAGACTTGAACTTCTAGCCTGATGGATCCTTGAGTTGGATTAAGATTTGGTTTTTTTAAATCCATGTTTTACAAATTAGTCGTTTGTAATCCATACAGCTCAGTCAAATGCATGGAACTAATATGATAATATTAGGACAGAGAAAGAATATATCCAAGGTAACTACCCTGTGGTGGGTACCACCCACTACACTATAGGTATCACACCACTATATCCTTGTCCCAGTCGAGTCAAGGATTACATGTAGTTTTGTTAATAGTATTAGTTGTATGGAAAGACAGTCAAGGATGGGAACATAATCATTTATATTTTTTACATTTTTGAATAGAGTGACCCATGATTGACTTTGACAATCTACGCGGCAGTCAGCGGGCCCTTCAAGGATATAAAACAAAGGAATTGGGATAGGATTTTAAAGAAGAAGTTCAAAATGGCATATTTTTAAATTTACCTTTTTTAAAAAGAAGTTGAAAATGTAAAGTGGATGATGAACAATCAAAAATATCTATAGCTCTCCTCTGTCAACTTAGAGCAAAAAATCTGGGTGGGGAAAAATGAGCAATATGTGTTACATCAGTAATTTAACAATGAAAATGTTAGCTGAAAGTCTAAAAGATGCATGATAGTCCCAGTTGATCAGGTAGTGTGTACAAGACTTTATAACTCAAGTAAAAGTGGTAGAAGCAAATACACTTATGCAGAACACAGAGTTGCACACATTTTTTTTATATCTTCGTACAAAATGGAAATGCAGGAACATTAAATGTCCCTATTGTCTTGACTGACTTGTGAAAAATTGCAAATGCTGGGGTTACACAGTGCATTTCAACATCATGCATAGGTTTTGACAAGACTATATAACCATGTTCCTGTCATTATGACAAGGTACATGTAATGAGCATCAATCAAACCAACTCACAACGCAAGCATGAATATCAGCTTGTTATGGCATACAAATCAAATCTGGGACTAACTTACTCAAGGATTCAAACTAAAGTCCAATGGTTGTTGTCTGTTGTACTACACTATCAGTGGGGAAAATAACTCATTGGCCAAAGTCAAATAAATAAATAAAATATATAATCTATCAGGAATTTTTTTAAACAAGGGAACAGGGGCAGAGCGCCCTCATGCAATGGCCATGCGCTCCCTTACATTTTTTGATAAACAATAGAGCCAATTGAAGATAACAATGAATACAATAAAAATGATTAACTTGTCATATTGTTATGTAAATCAGCATATATTTTCCTGGAGAGAACACTGGCCACTTTTCAAGAAGGTGTCAAAAATGTGAATGCCAACGGGCAACCAGTAATATGAACAGCTCCACCCTGCCAACAAAGTCAACAGCAGAGCTATCCAATTGTTTCACATGTGAAGTGTACATGTATGTTATGGAACCACACAGTTTATTTTTTGACCTTAGGTAGTTTTTGGAATGACAATGTTGTATTCATAGGTACATGTATGGGGTGTTTACTAACACACCAGGTTTTCGTGATATACAACATTTTAAGGATAAATGAGCAGTAACTGAAAATTTAAAAGCGTTGTTTTGCAATACTGCAATTAATAGTAGTGTTCATGAAGTACAGATTAAGATTCATGGTAATCTCGTACGTTTGCTTATCGGGCAGATCCAATTGGGTTCACGCACGGGAGAAAACAGTGGTTAGCAAAAGCTAAGAAATGCCAAACTTGTTAAGAATATACAAATCTTTAGTCATTTTAAATATGATTACTCAGTACAGTAACTAGTAAGTTATACAAATGTACATGTTAGAGCTACTACATTTGTATAAAACAATACCAAAGCAAATTCAGAAAGTGCAAAGTTAAACAACATGAAATCATAAATTTAAAAAAAAAAATTCTTTTCATCAATACATCTCCAATAATAGTGCACATAACCAAAAATATTGCATTTAATGTCCACTGGACGATTAAAATATGACAATAGACACATAAGTTATTTAAATAAATGTATGCACTACTAACAAAGCAAATATGGTAGTCATCTTACCAAATCACAGATGTACTACCAGTAGTACTTATTGCACTGACCCACAAAATGTTTTGAGAAAAGTGAAAAACTGTTGACTACATTTGAATTACATGTACAAGTGACAGTGTTGGCCTTGGACTAAGCAATCTTAGCAGATATTCTTGACATGAAGCATTGCAAACAGTCACTGATATAAAGTACATTGTATTACCCAGTACATACTACTGCTGGTGGTGAAATGCAATACTATTGTCCTACATTACAAGTAGTTGGCTTACTTGTAAACACTAGACTATCAATGAACCAGTACAATCTGATGAAATTTGAGTAAGAACATTAGAAGTACTGGAATGCATGAAATTCTGATGAAAGCAGCAATGGAAGAATCATCTAACAACTCCAATCGCAATGTATGGTGTAGTACACTTCCATCAGTATTACTGGTATCAAGAAAAACAATGCTATACATATTAGTAATACCAGATTTATTCAATTGGGAGTATATCTTCAAATCAAATTTGTTGTACACTGATTAATTAAAATATTACTTAACTATAGAAACAAAAGCAAATGCATTACTAATAGAATAAATATGGTAATTGTTTCTGCACATCGTGTGAGACTGAGCCATATATAGAGTGATTGGTGGAATGAAGCAGACCAATACATTTCGTGTATTTTCTAGTGTCTTTGAGCAGACAGAGCTAAAACGTTAATTACATGTTCTGTGAATTAGGATATTGGGTTTGCTGTATTAGAATTCCACCACTAAACCATGTAGTGTATGCTGGAAGATTACTTAAAACATAGACACTTCTGTTTATGTTACAAGCACATGTGTAACAAACAGAGCAAATAAAGTACTGTAGAATACTTTATTTTCGCTTGGAATTTATTTTCGCTATAGGGATGATTCCGTGAAAATAAAATCCAGCGAATATACTTTTTTCCCTATATTTCACATTAAACTCATGAAAAATCAGTGAAAATAAATTCCAAGCAAAACACCCAAAAAGCCTTTTCAGCGAAAATTAATTCCAGCGAAAATAAAGTATTCATTTATAAACCCATATCAATGCTTGATAATTTATAAATACTTCAATCATTCAGTAATGCATTATCACAATGGAAAAGTGAATATCACTGAATATACATGTAATTGAAAAAATATGAATATATAAAACTAAAATAATATACGGTACCATACAACTGTTTACTGTCTCTAAATCAATAAAAAAACAAAGTAATTATTTAGCCATTATCCAGGACAAAAAATCCCTCAAAATATTGCCTGTTTACTTCTGTTTTAAATTTGTTTGTATCTTAACGACATGGACCACTGCTATTGATACCATATTTTCAATTTCAGTGTTTCAGCCAACAGGAATTTATTTATTGTACGTGTGAAGATATAGACACTGGTAGAGAATACAGAGGAATTCCATTGCGAACCCCCAATGAATACAATAGGTGTATACTATGATACCATTGTATGATTTCAGACCGTATTTGTACACGTCTTCTATCGCATACCTGCTTGTCAAAGACCAAGCAATGAATACACTCAGTGTACAATGTCTGTACTAGTGGGCAATTGACAGGGTAGGGGTATGGTATATTACCACTCAGTGTACAATGTCTGTACTAGTGGGCAATTGACAGGGTAAGGATATGGTATATTACACTCAGTGTACAATGTCTGTACTAGTGGGCAATAGACAGGGAAGGGGTATGGTATATTACACTCAGTGTACAATG